TCTGCCTCCCTGCTGGGAGTGCAGGATCATGGGCTGTGTCTCCCCGGTGCCCTGGGATCTGGGGCCTGTGCTGCTGGAATCATGCTCCTGGGGCCACGGCTCCCAAAGGCAGCAGGGCACAGACCCCGAGCCCCAAGCCCCTGCCTGACCGACTTGCTTCCCCCTGATGCTGCGCTGGGCCTGCACGCCAGCCCGTTACCGAGATCCACCTATGGCGTGCATTGTGCTCTCCTCCAGGTGCACTTCCTCAATTAGTGATTCTGGGAGACTGGAGGCTGCCCTGCCCCTCCTGTGGTTCTGCCCCATTTCCCTGCACAGTGCCTTTCCATATGGTAAGAATCCGGTGTGGATTTTTAAAGTTCCCACTTCTCCAGGGCTGAGCTTTCCTGTCTCCAAGGCTCTCACTGCCCTCCTTAGCCCGGCTCCTTGCAGGGCCCCTCCCCCACTTGATTCTTTTTTATTTTACTTTTTGCCACCTTCCTACCTTGTTAGAAGCAAAAACTCTTCTCTCTGTAGTGTTCCAGCTGTTCTCTCTTTAAATCTCAGGTTGAGGGATGCCAGGGTGGCTTAGCATTTGAGTGCCTGCCATCAGCACAGGGTGTGATCTTGGAGTCCCAGGATCGAGTCCCACATAGGGCTCCTTGCATGGAGCCTGCTTCTCTCTCAGCCTATGTCTCTGCATCTCTCTCTGTCATGAATAAGTAAATAAAAATCTTAAAAAAAATCTCAGGTCAAATTCGTAGGTGTTCAGGATGATTTGAAAGTTATCTAGGTAACTTGCTCGGGCCAGGTGAGTTGAGGACCCCTACTCTTTTACCATCTTGCTCCGCCTCTCCCTTCTTTTAAATTTTATTTTATTTTTAAAAATATTTTATTTATTTATTCATGAGAGACACACACACACAGAGAGAGAGAGAGAGAGAGGCAGAGACATAGGCAGAGGGAGAGGCAGGCTCCACACAGGGAGCGGGATGTGGGACTCGATCCAGGTCTCCAGGATCACGCCCTGCTGAGCCACCCAGACGTCCCTCTTTTAAATTTTAAAGAGCTTTTTCCATAAAAGAGAATTTAGTTCCTTGCCAAAGACCAAATATCTTCCAAGTAACTTAATCCGTGTTCCCATTCATCTCTTTATTCTGTGTGTATGTGCACATGTGTATGTGCAACAAAATGTATGGACAAATTAACTATCTTTTGCCATTTTGGTGTCTGTGTTTTATACCTGCTTAGAAACTGCTCCTCGGGCCAAGTACACAATTTTGTCTAAAACATCTGAACCCTCAGCCAGGCAATTCTCAGGTTTTTCAAGAGTCTCATTTCTTGTTTGGAGTTTTATCTTATGTATCTCAGGTATGGTCCTCTTTATGCTGATATATATTTTCTTCTGGAAAAACAAGTATTAATCCCCAACCATCTGAGTTCCCAGGAGCTGCTTGTCACTGCCAGGCTCTAACTGCAGAGTGGGATGGAGTCTTCTCCTTAGTGGAGCCTGGCTCGTGGCCTGAGAACCACCACCAGGAGAGAGAACTCCCACATGGGGGAGGCAGGCAGAATCGGGAATTCTTACCTGGGACATGGTTAACAAAGGGGGAACATATGGCAAGTGGGTCTGTGGGGATCTAATTTGTTCATCCCACAGAGGTATGTCATATCAACACCACCATTGCCAAATGATGCCTTCTACTTGGTGTTCCTGGGGGCAGCTCTTCTCAGGCGTAGACACTACCTTCCCAAAGGCCTCTCAGACAGGGCCTTCCCTGACCCAGGCAGTTTAATGCCTCATCCTGCCTCTAGAACTATAGAGTCACATAACAAGACCCTGACACAAAGAACCAAGGAGGTGCTTTCATTTTTAAGGGTTTCAGTCCTAAGCCCAGGTATTTAGAAAGCCAAAAGGTGTGAAACAAGCCAGATTTCTGCACTAGGGGCAGATACTGCTGGCTCTTGCTGAGTTCATGAAGCTCTCAGAGCTGAAGGATCTGTCAGATTTGCACTGCACTTGAGTAGCATCAGAGGGACTGGGCTTACCTCACAAAGGGGCCCCAGATGTGATCACCTGGCCAGAGAGTGCAGCTAGAGGTCAAAAGCACCCCTGACTCAGGCCTGACTAACACCCTGACCAGATGCAGGGGCATGAACTGAGTGTGGCCGACAAGGCGTGCTGGTCAAAACTCAAGTCCTCAAGAAGGAGACAGATACGACTTGTGGGTGAGAAAGCCAGCTGAAGGCTCATCAAGCAGGAGTGTGGTGAAGACCTTGGTTCTGAGGTTGGTCTGGGGTGTAGCTGCATCAGGTGTGGAAAGATTATGATGCCAAGGTGGCCTCCAAATGTTCCCTGGGAAACATATTCTGACATCATGGAACAGAAAGGCTTGAAGGCCAAAGTTGGCTGCTTGAGCATGTCCCATGTGTATCAAGTTAGTGCAAACTTTCAAACCATCCAGCAAGAGGCTAGGCAGGGAAAGGGAACAAGCTAACACACTTCAGGTATGGTGGGGGGCAAGCCATGAGACACAAAGGCGAGGTTGACTGGACCCTGGGCCTGTGATACTCTCTGATGCCTCAGTCTCAAAGCTGATGGAGTTATGGGGCCCATAGTAAGGGTTTGAGCAAAGCCTATATGGTAGGTCAGAAACACACACTGGCCTTGATGAGACACACAGGCAAGTCTGCCTGGTATAGCTGGACATGTTGAGGATTTGGTTGGCGGTTTCTGGAGTGAGGACACGTGGAGCCAGGATGGCATCATCACTGGGTGGCTGACGTAATACCTTATGAATATTCTGTGTTCCATGTATCTCATGTGTAGTTAGTGTCTGGTGAATATCAGGTGTCTCTTGATTATGCTGTCACAGTCCTTGTTCAACTTAGGCAAGCTATATTTACTGCTTATCTGTGATGAACACAACTTGTGGACTTTGCCTTTGTCTCTGCTGGGAAGGAAAAATTTCTTGTCTCCTTCAAAGGCCTTCTAGCCACACTAAGGATCAAACTGACATGCAATAGGTTAACAAGGAAAAAAAATCAAATTTAATTTCATACATATGGGGAATCCATAAAGACATTGAAATTCCAAAGGCAGTCAGGTAAACTGAGGTATATATGTCACTCTGAACTAAAGAGAAGGGTGTGGTCTAAGACTTCAAAGAGAAGGGATGTAATCCTTAGGAAGAAAGAAAAAGAATTGATGTTTGGTAAACAAATTGGCCCCTTTCACTATTATTTATATTCCCCAAATGAATGAGAACATATAATGTTTGTCCTTCTCCGATTGACTTACTTCACTCAGCATAATACCCTCCAGTTCCATCCACGTTGAAGCAAATGGTGGGTATTTGTCGTTTCTAAATTTTTTTATTTATTTATGATAGTCACAGAGAGAGAGGGAGAGGCAGAGACACAGGCAGAGGGAGAAGCAGGCTCCATGCACCGGGAGCCTGACGTGGGATTCGATCCCGGGTCTCCAGGGTCGTGCCCTGGGCCAAAGGCAGGCGCCAAACTGCTGCGCCACCCAGGGATCCCTATTTGTCATTTCTAATACCTGAGTAATATTCCATTGTATACATAAAGGGAGACAGAACATAAAGCCTCCTAACTCTGGAAAACGAACTAGGGGTGGTGGAAGGAGAGGAGGGTGGGGGGTGGGGGAGAATGGGTGACGGGCACTGAGGGGGGCACTTGATGGGATGAGCACTGGGTGTTATTCTGTATGTTGGCAAATTGAACACCAATAAAAAATAAATTTATTATTTAAAAAAATAAAAATAAAAGTAAAAAGTAAAACAAAACAAAATGAAAAAAAATTGGCCCCAATGACACAGAGGGGACTTTGCTAGGTTTCTCCTGTCTACTATACTTTGTTGACAGTATAATGTGGTTGTCTGTGGTGATAGATATCTTCCTGGAGCAGGCCCTCTATCTAAATTTTTTTAGGTGGCTAGGGGAAGGGAAGAGGTATAGAACTTTTCCTGAATCTGCTGGGTTTTGATTTTTTTTTAAATCAAAATAATCTTCATGCCAAAGTAGTTCCTTTTGAGGTGCCCTGCCCTTGGCCCCTACATCCCTCGGGCTATTTTCTTCTTCATTATCTATACTTAGCACACTAACTGTTGTGGCTCTGTCTCAGGAGCTACATCTTGATTCACCTTCTATAAGAGAATCAAATCTCCTCAAAAGCAATTGTTACAAGCTGTAATCTACACATACTCCTCTGTTAGATTGAGGTAGGTCTGAAGGTGTGGTTCAGGCAATGAGGTGAAGCTCCTACACTAAGTCAGGTAGCCTGAGGCTTTACTTGACCCCTTTGTGAGTCCTATCTTTCTCCTGTGTAAAAGGGGCTATTCCTTATATGGCCCCAAGGGGGATAATTAAATAAGAGAAACATGTGATATTCTTATTATAGGATCTGGCAAGACTCAATAATACTCCATAAACAGATCCCAGTGTGATTGCTAATGAGTCTGACTGGAAATGGGGGAGACACAGGGGGCAGTTTTGAAGCCAGACAAAGGTTTGGCTGAGGATTTTCATACATGCTTCTGAAGAGGAAACAAATAAGAAGTTTTGACACCAGTGTTCTTCCTGTGACGGTGCTTCTGTTGCAGAATTTGTGCCTTTCTGTGCACTGAGAACGGATAGAGATAGGCCCCTGCACTGGATGTGAGAGGGACCTCGCAGACAAGGAGGCTGGGGTCACTTGGTAGGGAAGGGGAAGGAAAGGACAGCAAGTGTGTGGAGGCATGCATTCCTTCCGGAAAGGAAAGGCAGTAGGAGAAAATGCTCTGAATTGTGACTGCTGATTTATTACTCCACTTCTCTATGGTGAAGGAGAGAGAGAATCTCATAGGACATAAAGCTAACAGAAGTTCTCCTCCTTTTATCCCTAGCAGTGCCAGGAAGACGTGGGGGTGCAGAAGCAGCACAGCCAGCCCAGCCCATGTCCTACTGTAGTCCTGGAAGGACAGAAGGAACAAGACCTGTACCCCCTTGGCTGAGGTGCCATGGCCAGACCCTGCCTGAGTCTGCTGCTCCTGGTAGCCACTGTGACCCTTGTGTCCAGAGGTATCCATGCCTGGGGCAGGTCAAAGGTGGTGAGGACGTTCCAAGACATTCCTGAAACTTATGTCTATGTGCAGCAGGCGCTATGGTATGCCATGAAAGAGTATAACAAGGCCAGCAAAGACAAGTACACCTTCAAGGTCATAAAGGTCTTGAAATCCCAGGAGCAGGTCAGTGAGCATGCTCTCTCTTCTCTTTCTCTTCAAGATGCAGTCATATGGGGGCCCATTATTCATGGAGGGCACAGACACCAGGGAGTGGAAAATAGCTAAGAGATGCCTTTAACCAAATATATATTATTTTTATTTTAGGGGTTTCTGGAGGAAAATTAGTTACACTTCATCCTTTCTTATTCTGGGATGAAACATAAAATAAAGATCATAATAACTTAATATTGATTACAGTCATATCAGAAAGCATAGGTGAGAGCCCAAGAAGGGCTATTGAAAGGGACAAATTTGGGACAGTTTGGGCTGATATCAAAATGAGTCATTACTGTTATGGATTATAACACAATGAAAAAGCAAAGAAAGTGCAAGTCCAGCTTTCACTGAAAAAAGAAATGGAAGGCTTTTTACAGAAAAAAAAAAAAACAGCTACCTGTAGATGTAAAAGATTGTGTAAGGAGTAAATCATCATGGCAATAACTACTTCAGGCAAACATCATCAATGAATCCTACAATCACTGGGGTGAGAAAGTGGTGGGGGACAAATTGCTTGCAGGGATTCTTTCATTAATTAATTACAACAGGGAAAAGATACCCTTATGATCAGGACACCTGGCCAAGACTTTGTTCATTAAATGTTTGTGAACAATACTGGGACAAACTGACATCATGTGCCCCTGATGTGAGGTCACAGAAAGGACACAGCATCACTAGTGTATGGTATCATTGTCTGAAATCAATCCCCTGAAGGTAATCATGATGAACAGTTAGACATATCCATATTATGGAGCATTCTGTAAGACCTCTTAAAATTATCAGTGTCAGGAAAGACAGAGGAAAAGCAAGGAAATGGCCTGATTAAAAGACATGTAAGATTCTTCTACACGAGGCTGTCCAATTTTCCCAGGCCATTTGTTGAAGAGACTGCCCTTTTTCCAGTGGATAGTCTTTTCTGCTTTGTCAAATATTAGTTGACCATAGAGGGCCCATTTCAGGGTTCTCTATTCTGCCCCATTGATCTGTGTGTCTGTTTTTCTGCCAGGACCACACTGTCTTGATGACCACAATTGTAGTACAACTTGAAATCTGGCATTGTGATGCCCTGGCTCTGGTTTACTATTACAATATTCCCAACTATTTGGCATATTTTCTGATTCCATACAAATCTGAGGATGATTTGTTCCAACTCTCAGCAGAAAGTCCATGGTATTTTTACAGGGATTGTATTGAATTTGTAAATTGCCTGGGGAGCATAGACATTTTCACAATATTAATACTTCCAATCGTGAGCAAGGAATGTTTTTCCATCTCTTTGTGTCTTTCTCAATGTCCTTCAGAAGTGTTCTGTAGTTTTTAGGGCATAGATACTTTACCTCTTTGATTAGGTTTATTCCTACGTATCTTATGCTTTTGGATGCAATTGTAAATGGGATTGACTCCAATTTTTTTCTTTTTTTCTCAGATTTCTTTTTTAAAAAAAATTTTTATTGCAGTTTAATTTGCCAACATATAGCATAACATCCAGTGCTCATCCCACCAAGTGCCCCCCGCACTGCCCATCACCCAGTCACCCCAACACCACCTACCTCCCCTTCCACTACCCCTTGTTCATTTCCCAGAGTTAGGTGTCTCTCATGTTTTCCCACCCTCACTGATATTTTCACTCATTTTCCCTCCTTTCCCTCTATTCCCTTTCACTAATTTTTATATTCCCCAAAAGAATGAGACCACATAATGTTTGTCCTTCTCCATATGACTTATTTCACTCAGCATAATACCCTACAGTTCCACCCACGTCGAAGCAAAGGCTGGGTATTAGTCCTTTCTAATTAGTCCTTTCCTGGGTAGGTCTAATTTTAACTCTTTGAGGAACCACCACACAGTTTTCCAGAGTGGCTGTACCAGGTCACATTCACACCAACAGTGCAAGAATGCTTCCTTTTCTCCACATCCTCTACAACATTTGTTGTTTCCTGTCTTGTTAATTTTCCCCATTCTCACTGGTGTCAGGTGGTATCTCGTTGTGGTTTTGATTTGCATTTACCTGATGGCCAGTGATGCAGAGCATTTTCTCATGTGCTTGTTGGCCATGTCTATGTATTCCTCTGTGAAATTTCTTTTTTTTAAATAAATTTATTTTTATTGGTGTTCAATTTACCAACATACAGAAAAACACCCAGTGCTCATCCTGTCAAGTGCCCCCGCCAGTGCCCGTCACCCATTCCCCCCCCGCCCTCCGCCCTCCTCCTCTTCCACCACCCCTAGTTCGTTTCCCAGAGTTTAGGAGTCTTTATGTTCTGTCTCCCTTTCTGATATTTCCCACACATTTCTTCTCCCTTCCCTTACATTCCCTTTCACTATTATTCATATTCCCCAAATGAATGAGAACATATAATGTTTGTCCTTCTCCGATTGACATACTTCACTCAGCATAATACCCTCCAGTTCCATCCATGTTGAAGCAAATGGTGGGTATTTGTCGTTTCTAATGGCTGAGTAATATTCCATTGTATACATAGACCACGTCTTTATCCATTCATCTTTTGATGGGCACCGAGGCTCCTTCCACACTTTGGCTATTGTGGACATGGCTGCTAGAAACATCGGGGTGCAGGTGTCCTGGTGTTCCACTGCATCTGAATCTTTGGGGTAAATCCCCAACAGTGCAATTGCTGGGTCGTAGGGCAGGTCTATTTTTAACTCTTTGAGGAACCTCCACACAGTTTTTCAGAGTGGCTGCACCAGTTCACATTCCCACCAACAGTGTAAGAGGGTTCCCTTTTCTCCGCATCCTCTCCAACATTTGTGGTTTCCTGCCTTGTTAATTTTTCCCATTCTCACTGGTGTGAGGTGGTATCTCATTGTGGTTTTGATTTGTATTTCCCTGATGGCAAGTGATGCAGAGCATTTTCTCATGTGCATGTTGGCCATGTCTATGTCTTCCTCTGTGAGATTTCTGTTCAGGTCTTTTGCCCATTTCGTGATTGGATTGTTTGTTTCTTTCCTGTTGAGTTTAATTAAGTTCTTTATAGATCTTGGAAACTAGCCCTTTATCTGATACGTCATTTGCAAATATCTCCTCCCATTCTGTAGGTTGTCTTTTAGTTTTGTGTCTTTTAGTTTTTTTTTCTCTTACTGTGCAGAAGCGTTTTATCTGGATTAAGTCCCAATAATTCATTTTTGCTTTTGTTTCCCTTGCCTTCACAGATGTATCTTGCAAGAAGTTACTGTGGCCAAGTTCAAAAAGGCTGTTGCCTGTGTTCTCCTCTAGGATTTTGGTGGAATCTTGTCTCACATTTAGATCTTCCATCCTTTTTTGAGTTTATCTTCGTGTATGATGCAAGAGAGTGCTCTAGTTTCATTCTTCTGCATGTGGATGTCCAATTTTCCCAGCACCATTTACTGAAGAGACTGTCTTTCTTCCAGTGATTGTCTTTCCTCCTTTGTCGAATATTAGTTGACCATAAAGTTGAGGGTCCACTTCTGGGTTCTCTATTCTGTTCCATTGATCTATGTGTCTGTTTTTATGCCGGTACCACACTGTCTTGATGACCACAGCTTTGTAGTACAACCAGAAATCTGGCATTGTGATGCCCCCAGATATGGTTTTCTTTTTCAAAATTCCCCTGGCTATTCGGGGTCTTTTCTGATTCCACACAAATCTTAAAATAATTTGTTCTAACTCTCTGAAGAAAGTCCATGGTATTTTGATAGGGATTGCATTAAACGTGTAAATTGCCCTGGGTAACATTGACATTCTCACAATATTAATTCTGCCAATCCATGAGCATGGAATATTTTTCCATCTCTTTGTGTCTTCCTCAATTTCTTTCAGAAGTGTTCTATAGTTGTTAGGGTATAGATTCTTTACCTCCTTGGTTAGGTTTATTCCTAGGTATCTTATGCTTTTGGGTGCAATTGTAAATGGGATTGACTCCTTAATTTCTCTTTCTTCAGTCTCATTGTTAGTGTAGAGAAATGCCATTGATTTCTGGGCATTGATTTTGTATCCTGCCACGCTACCAAATTGCTGTATGAGTTCTAGCAATCATTGGGGTGGAGGATTTGGGGTTTTCTATGTAGAGTATCGTGTCATTGACGAAGAGGGAGAGTTTGACTTCTTCTTTGCCAATTTGAATGCCTTTAATGTCTTTTTGTTGTTTGATTGCTGAGGCTAGGACTTCCAGTACTATGTGGAATAGCAGTGGTGAGAGTGCACATCCCTGTCTTGTTCCTGATCTTAGGGGAAAGGCTCCCAATGCTTCCCCATTGAGAATGATATTTGCTGTGGGCTTTTCGTAGGTGGCTTTTAAGAGTCGAGGAATGTTCCCTCTATCCCTACACTCTGAAGCGTTTTGATCAGGAATGGATGCTGTATTTTGTCAAATGCTTTCTCTGCATCTACTGAGAGGATCATATAGTTCTTGGTTTTTCTCTTGCTCATATGATGAATCACATTGATTGTTTTCCGAGTGTTGAACCAGCCTTGTGTCCCAGGGATAAATCCTACTTGGTCATGGTGAATAATTTTCTTAATGTACTCTTGGATCCGATTGGCTAGTATCTTGTTGAGAATTTTTGCATCCATGTTCATGAGGGATATTGGTCTGTAATTCTCCTTTTTGGTGGGGTCTTTGTCTGGTTTTGGAATTAAGGTGATGCTGGCCTCATAGAACGAATTTGGAAGTACTCCATCTCTTTCTATCTTTCCAAACAGCTTTAGTAGAATAGGTATTGTTTCTTCTTTAAACGTTTGATAGAATTCCCCTGGGAAGCCATCTGGCCCTGGAGTTTTGTGTCTTGGGAGGTTTTTGATGACTGCCTCAATTTCCTGCCTGGTTATTGGCCTGATCCGGTTTTCTATTTCTTCCTGTTCCAGTTTTCATAATTTGTCATTTTCCAGATATGGATCCATTTCTTTTAGATTGCCTAACTTATTGGTCTCTTACACCATACACAAAGATAAACTCAAAATGGATGAAAGATCTAAATGTGAGACAAGAATCCATCAAAATCCAGGAGGAGAACACAGGCAGCACTCTTTTTCAATCTGACATCAGCAACTTCTTGCAAGATACATCTTTGAAGGCAAGGGAAACATAAGCAAAAATGAATTATTGGGACTTCATCAAGATAAAAAGCTTCTGCACCACAAAAGAAACTGTCAACAAAACTAAAAAACAACCTACAGAATGGGAGAAGATATTTGCAAATGACATATCAGATTAAAGGCTAGTATCCAAGATCTATAAAGAACTTATCAAGTTCAATAGCAAAGAAACAAACAATCCAATCCTGAAATGGATAAAAGACATGAACAGAAATTTCACAGAGGAAGACATAGACATGGCCAACAAGCACATGAGAAAATGCTCCAAATCACTTGCCATCAAGGAAATACACATCAAAACTACAATGAGATACCACCTCACACCAGTGAGAAGGGTGAAAATTAACAAGAAAGGAAACAAATGTTGGATAGGATGTGGAGAAAGGGGAGCACTCTTGCACTGTTGGTGTGAATGCGACCTGGTACAGCCACTCTGGAAAACTGTGTGGTGGTTCCTCAAAGAGTTAAAAGTAGAGTTACCCTGCAACTCAGCAATTACACTACCAGGGATTTACCCCAAAGATACAGATGCAGTGAAAAGCTGAGATGCCTGTACCTCAATGTTTTTAGCAGCAATGTCCAAGATAGCCAAAGTGTGGAAGAAGCCTCGGTGTCCATCAAAAGATGAATGGATAAAGAAGATGTGGTCTATATACACAATGGAATATTATTCAGCCATTAGAAAGGACTAATACCCAGCATTTGCTTCGACATGGATAGAACTGGAGGGTATTATGCTGAGTGAAGTAAGTCAATTGGAGAAGGACAAACATTATATGGTTTCATTCATAGAGGGATTGTAAAAAATAGTGAAAAGGATTATATAGGAAAGGAGACAAAATGAGTGGGAAATATTAGAGGTGACAGAAATGAGACACTCTTAACTGGGAAGTGAACAAGGGGTGGTGAAAGGGGAGATGGGCAGGGGGATGGGGTGACTGGGTGATGGGCAGTGAGGGGGGCACTTGCTGGGATGAGCACTGGGGGTTATATGTTGGCAAAGCGAACTCCAATAAAAAATATACAAAATCATAAAAATTAAAAATAAATATAAATAAAGAAAAAGAAAGCTCAGGTATGAAATATGACAACTAAATGCAATATGTGATTTTGTATTATCTCCTGGATTAAAAAAAACTATCAATGACATTACTGGGGTAGTTGGAGGAATTGGAATGTGGACCTTGTTGTAGAAGATACTGTTGCACCAATTATGTTTCCCAAGAAAGAAGATGGGACTATAGTTTGGGGGGATCCCATAGAAGAATCAGTAGGTGCACAGAAGGAAAAGGGATTCAGCCAGTGTGGCTGGAATTTAAGGAAGGGAAGAGAGGGGGCTGACGGAGAATGGAGGTTACCGTGCAACATCAGAATGACATGGAGTACAGGGACAGTCTTGTGCTTCTCTTCCTCCTTCCACCATCTCCTCTCTACTGTCTGCCCTTTCACCTTGCTTTCCATTCCTCCATGTCATCAGGAACCTGAGTTAGGAATTAAGGAGTTAGGAGAGGGGGCTCATTTGACAGCTTCATCCCCTATGAGACTGGGGCATTTGGCCTCTTGGCTCTCCTCCACACTCACAGGCCTTGGGTCCTTCTGATCTTGGTTATGTTGTTTGTGTTTCTTGGGTGCTGGACACCTCAGGCCAGAAAGTGTGTCATTCAAAAGAATGAGGTAGAAATAGGTTTGAAAAGAGGCTAAACAAAAGTATTTAAAATTCCTTGACATTCCATCTACATAACACTGGAAAACACACTGAAGAAAAAAGTAAGGAAGAATGAAACATCCCCTCCAAACAAAATTAACTGAAAACAAAATAAAAAGAAAAAGAAAAATGCTTGGTGATAATTCAGATTAAACTTAGTAACACATACACAAGCTTTATATAAAGAGAATAGGTATATCTTATTGGCTGATTTAACTTAAAATACAAAGATTATATCAGGAGTTAGAAAATTATAGCCTGCAGCCAAGTCTGGCTTGCTGCTTATTTTGTATGCCCCATGAACTAAGAATGGTTATAAGAAATAAAAAAAGAATATTTCATAACATGAAAATTACACAAAATTTAAATTTCTATGTCTATAAATAAAGTTTTATTAGAACATTGCCACCTATGTTATGAGTGCAGTCTAGGGCCACCTTTGTGCTGCAATAACAAGATTGTATGTTCTGAGCCTAAATGCTCTCCCTTTGAAGAAAATGTTTGCTACTTGCTTTAGTTCATAGTTGACTAAGTCTTTGCTGCAGATTTTGTGCAAGGTGAATGATGGTAAAAATGAGAACTGTAGGTCTGACTATATGCTAATTTCTTTCAAGAAATACAGTGCAGTACTATAAATGTATTTTCTCTTATAATTTCTTTAAAACTTTATTTTCTCTAGTTTACTTTATTTCAAGAATATATACATACTTCTGGTCAACAGTAGGCTATTGGTAGTTAAGTTTTTTAGTAGTCAAAAGCTCCACTTAGATTTTTGATTGTGCCTATAACTCCTTGTTACACATTGCTTTGAATTCCTTGCCTTGAACACATTGTTCAAGGGTCAGCTGTATATACAGTCTACTTTATGCCAGACCTGGTTGCTTTTCATATGCTCATTCAGATCTCACAACTCATTATGTAGGAGCTATTTTCTTCCACCTTAAAGAGGAAATGGGACCAGAGTGGTTTAATAATTTTTCCACAGCACACAACTGGTATGGAGAAGAGCTAAGATTTAAACCCAGGCTGCCAATTGTGAATGAGCACACGTTTTAACTGAGTGGAATGGATGGAGTGCAAGTGGTGGGACATTGCAGAAAGACTAAAGAGGTCATAGAAGGTCAGGAGAGTCAGAAGGGCCTGTCTGTGAAAGCAGTGAAGGGCTGCCTCAGCAGCCAGGATTCCCATTCCTTTCCCTTTTCTGGGCAATCAGGGGTCAAGCTAGGGCTGGTGGTCAGTGGTGGTGGTTGAGTCTGATTCAGTATTATTCTTTTTATGATAATTTTAACTTGGAAGTATTACTCAAATGTAAAGCAATGGTTCTCAAATGGGCATGGATTTTGCTTGGCAGGGAATTTTTGGCAATAATTGGAGCGATTTTTGGTCATCACAATCAGAGAAGGCCACTATACACACCTAGTGGGCAGAGGCTAGGGACACTGTTACTGCATCCCCTATAGCACCCAGGACAGCCCTCACCACAAAGACTGATCCAGCCCCAAATGTCAATAGCGCTGAGTTTGAGAAATGTGTTATCCAGTCATAAAAAAAACTTCTAAGAGTATGTCTGGAAGTTGTTGAGCTGAAAAATGGTAGCAAAGACCCAATTTTCTGCATTTCCAATCTGACTCTTCACTTCCTGAGAGCACCCTGGAAACAGGTGGCTCTGTCTTTCTAGACACTTTATATACACTTAAATAACTGAAAAAATTTTAAGTATATATGATATTCAAAAGACTACTTAGAATTCTGCTGACCATTTTGTTTAATGCCCAGGCAACTTCCCTAGGATGTTCAAAATGTTTACTATGCTTTTGAGATGATGTCTTACTCTTCTAGGGTCAGTGAATGTGATTAACTTGGTAATTTTAATACCTTCTCTCCCTTACGTTATAAAATCTTATCTTGTTCTCATTTTTAAATAATTAATAGTTTCTATTTGCCATTGTGCATTTCCATTTCCCCAGGAAACCTCTGAAATACAGAGGCCAGTGGGGGGTCTGCAAGGAAGAGGCCCTGCAATGAGGGATTCAGGAGAGTGGATCATGTGGAATAGGGTTGGATTGCTAAATTTGCCAAGGAGGGAAGCTAAAGAGAGAAGCAATACCCTCCAAACAAATTTCAGTTATTAGATATCATTTCTTCTCCCAATATCTATTGAATAAGTATGAAGATGTTTAGACTCTGCAGTTTATTTCTCAAGCTCTATAAGCACACCATTACCTTTCACAGGAAAACATTATTTGGGGATTTTTCTTCCTTTATCTTGGGGACAGTTGTCACTATTCAACATTCAATACCATGATGTGAGACAAATAGGCAGATAGAAGGAGAGATATCAAGGTAAGAACTCATCCCCTCCTGTTACCTCAAAATTTCTGGCAAGGAAACTATAGAAGGGAGGGAGATGGGGAGGCATTCTTTGCCCTAAGCACGATATGTTTATTTATCAGAGATGACAGTTGGTATCATGCATTCGTTTATGATATCTAATTTCTAAATTACTCCTTGACAGGTCACAGAGAGTTTAGACTACTTTCTTGAGGTCAAAATTGCCCGAACAATGTGCAAGAAAATTTCAGGAGAAAATGAATATTGCCTATTACAGAAGGATCCCCAAATCCAAAAGGTATGTGCCTCAGGTGGAGGCAGTGATGGCCTGGTCAGATCTGCATACTAGACAGAGAAAACCAATAGGACCAATCCTGCTTTAATTTTCTTGTCTCCTTTTAAACCATATTCTGATCATATTCAGGACCAAGGATAGCCAGATTCCAGACACAGACATAAACTGTTTCTATCAGTTTTTGCTGGTACTCTTCACCCCTGCCAAAACACACATAATACTTAGTGGCTTAAAGCAATACCCATTCATTGTTTCTCACTATCCTGCAATCTGGGCTAGACAGAAGTAATTTTCCTTTCCCTTGATCAAATTTGTCTTTATGATCTTTTTATAAAGTTACATCTAATTTTTCAATTTCATAGTTGAAACTACATTTACAAGTATGTATATTTCTGTGTCTTTTGAATTTTCTTCACCTGTTTGGTGAATACCCTAAGGCTGGCTGGCATGAGATATGGCTAAGCAAAAATAATGGCAGATTAGTGGTTCCTGAAAATTGCCCATACATGTGCAAATAAAATACATCTTCATATTCTGATGAATAGTAGGCACCACAGCAGAATACCAAACATGAGTGGATGACTACATCTAGAGAGTAAGTTGTTATTATAAATTGCTATTATTATAAATTACTAGATTTTAATTAAGTAATATTTTAAAAGTTCTGGTAGATACTAAGAATGATATATCAAATAACCATGAACTTGATTTTATAACTGTAATCATTTTATTACATTAATTTAAATGTTTATTTCAACAAGTAAAATGTTAAACATGCATTCCACTTCTCCCTCTCATATATAAACACTCAAATTGTTGAGAAGCGTTCTTACCCACCCACCTCCATTACCATCACTCCTTGTTGAAGAATATGCGAAAGCTTCTCCCTGTACCTGTCACTACCCCCATCTTCCCTCTGCCATTAGGCTTATAACTTGTAAAACCAAGCTGTGGAATATCTCATCCACTTTCCACAAGTGTTGATCCCCAAATACTCCATAGTAAATATTCTCTACACTGAAAAAAATGTGTTCTTACCCATTAAAAATTTTTTTAATTTGTGCATGCAGAGTTTTGTGTGTTTTTCAAAATTTACGTACATTTTGGAACTTTCTCTTGTTATGAGATTTATTATGTTGGTACAATCTGTTATTATTTATTTATGCCAAATGATTTCTTGGGCCATTTAAGGTGTATAGAAATCAGCCAAAATTGTTTTTGTTACTGCATATTAAGCTCTTTTTTTTTTAAAGAACATTTTTTTTTAATTTTTTATTTACTTATGATAGTCACAGAGAGAGAGAGAGAGAGAGAGGCAGAGACACAGGCAGAGGGAGAAGCAGGCTCCATGCACCGGGAGCCCGATGTGGGATTCGATCCCGGGTCTCCAGGATCGCGCCCTGGGCCAAAGGCAGGCGCCAAACCGCTGCGCCACCCAGGGATCCTGCATATTAAGCTCTTATATGACTGTATTATGTTGTATTTGACCATCTCACTATTTTGGATACTGTGGTTGTCTTAAAATTTCACTCTTAACCACAATGCAGCAGTGACAGTTTGGATGCATGCTGACTGAGCAGGTTTGGGGCTATCCCCGGGGGCACCCTCTAGAGTAGGGCTGCCATACTGCTACACATGCAGCTTCAGCGCTCCTGGGGCCACCACATGTGACTTGCAACCTCAGTTTTACTCTCCAAAGTGGTTGAACTAGCACATCTTCCATAGTGATGTGTGTGGTTGTTCATTTTCCCTCAGCACTTGGGGTTGAATCTTAAATGTTTTCATTCTGATGTATGTGAAAGGTGATCTCCCCACCACTTCACTTGGTTGCTTCCTACTGATCATCCAAGTTTTCACTTCTAGGCTTTGCTTTTTAATATTTTTTTTTCTGGAGCAACCAGAGGGTCCTTGTCAGGAGCCACAGCCAATCCACTGGAACCCCCTGACCTCAACTCCTCATACTTCCCACTTCCTTCCTCTATCTCCCCTTGGCCAAACCCAACTGGAAGCCAGAGGGTGCCCAGTGATGTGATCTATGGAGGTCAGAGAGCAGGGTTCCCATTGTCACAGAGAGTTGAGGTCATAGGGTGAGAGTGCCCATTGACACAGCCCATAAAAGTCATTGGTCTTTCAAGATACACCAGGTATGAATAGAAGAAGTACAGACACTGAGAGACACATGGAGAAAAGACGGCATAGGGGCAGGAGTGAATTAATAGGAATCTGTGAGGAGTCTAATGGAATAGATGAGATGAGAGATGATGTTGGTTAGGATGGAGGAAGTACTAGGTTCTAGATGTCTGTGAAAGGCTTGGAATTTGCTGATTGATTGGCCATGGAGAGTAAAAAGAGTTAAGTATGACTTCAAGGTTTGTGGAGTTTGGAGGCAGTTTGCTCTCTTGGTTTCCTCTTATGTTCTCATCCTCTACATGGAGCAACTGGCATTCAGTAGACTTGGTCACCCTGATTGGATCCACTTCTTATCATGCAGAGAATCCTCTCTGTCTCCGTCCTTGGACAATGTCCCCTCCTGTTTCATAGAGCTTCTGCAGATTTGACCTTATCTGCTTTCTTTAGTTATTTATTGGGATTTAGAAAGGAATAAAAGGCAAACATCTGAGATCCTTGAAATATAAATTTAAAACTTGACATGATTTTAAATAGTTATTAGCCTGATACATGTAGAAAATTTAGAACTTTCAAAAATTTTAAGCCACTTAAAATCAGTTATTAATACCCTTATGTAAAGTTTACCACTGTCCATATATTTTTATACTAGTTTTCCTATATTTTATATCTGCATTTTTGTGTAGTTGGGATCCTACTGTATACTATTCTATAATTCATATTTTCATTTAATAATAACTCTAAGAATTTATAAAACTGTAAAATATTGGAAAGCATCAGATAGTGGAACTATGTGATTTCATTTAATGGTGTTCCACATTTCACTTAGCAAATCCCTGAGAATTGGTTAAGTTTTTCTAACTTTTAGCTATTATGAACATTGCTTTAATAAATATTCTTTATTTCTATTTGTGTTATTATTGTTTCCTTGTAGACAGAGTTCCTGGATGTTGAATTACTCACCAAGGGTTTGACTAGACTGCTGGTAGCTTGGTCTTATTTTCTTCCTCAAGCTGATCCTCAATATTTGTATCATCTATAACTTCAATTCTATTTAATGTTGCATTCATGTTTTCATTGATGTAGTGAGGGATTTCTCATTTGTATTTTTATTCTAAGTGAATACAAATTTTAGGAGTGAGAGGAGGGATATAAGTGAATTCATCCCACACAAGAACCTGAAACTCTCTCTGCTCATTCTGCATGTCCTGGGAAGAGCTCTATGTGTCCCCTCAGTTCCCTGGCTTCAAGTTTTGCTTCTTGTCTCTGGCCAACCTTGACCTGCCCCACCAAGGTGTGCAGGACTCTGTATTATTTCTGTTGGGTTGCTTCTCTTGGGAAGGACTCATTGGGCCCTCCATGCAGCATGCAATCTCAGTAGGCTGCAGAGAAATCACCGTGACTGGATGAAGGCCCAAGCTGGAGATGAGAATTTCTGGAATAACAATTTTCTGGGCTCCTGCTATACATGATGGCTTCAGATCACGGGGAGGTGAATGGGAGGGGTTCATTCTGGTGAGTGAGGCTGGCTCCACTCCCATCTGGTCTCAGATACAGTAGCTCCAGGGAATGCAGGGGTATGGCTGGCTTAAGCTGATTTTAGCCAGCCTGAAACCAAATTCTGAAATTTGGTTTAGAAATAAGAAACCCAGAAATAGAAACTTCCGTTTATTTATTTTTCATTTTTATTTCTTACAAGCTAATTATTCTTTTTGTCTCTTTTAGATGTTTTTTTGCACCTTTATTGTTGCAACCAAACCTTGGAAATTTGAGTTCACTATGCTGAAGAAACACTGTGAAGAGGTCTAATTATCTTCTAGCATATTCAACTGCTCTCACTTCCATTTAAAGAAGCAAATACACTTGCAAAACATTTAAATAAGTTGATTCGTTGACTTTATTTCTGTGGCCTTTTTGCCTTTTGTGTGCTCTTCAGGGGCTGGTACTGAGAACTTGATGCCTTTTTAGTGTTGGTCAGCCACTTCTAGTTCACTCACACATCTACTAGCAGGACAATGTGTTACCTACCAGTAAATAGAAGACATTGTGAACCCATTTCCATATCTCATTGAACTATGAGCACAAATTACTTTTCACTGGAAGCTATTTCTGGAGAACTAACTGGGGGACTCAGCACTCAACTGTTTCATGCTGGTGGGTTGTTTCTTCAAGGTTCTGAGGGTCTGGCTTGCCTTGAGAGTGTTCCTTCCATGGAATTCCACAAAAATCTTCCTGCCTAGGACTCTGGGGAAGACATAGCCAAATGCCTTAGAGTTTTATACAATCAATCCAACTGGAAGATGGTTGGGTCATTTGTAGATCTGTAGTGTATTTTTTTTTTTTTAATTTGACAACCTGGAACTTTTTTAAAAATTTCTTTTATTGGAGTTTGATTTGCCAATATATAGTATAACACCCAGTGCTCATTCCGTCAAGTGCCCTCCTCAGTGCCCATCACCCAGTCACCCCATCCCCTCACCCACCTCCACTTCCACTACCCGTTCATTTCCCAGAGTTAGGGGTCTTTCAAGCATTGTCATCCTAATTTTTCCCACTCATTTTGCCTCCTTTCTCTTTAATCCATTCCACTATTTTTATATTCCCCATATGAGTGAAACCATATAATGTTTGTCCTTCTCCAATGGACTTACTTCACTCAGCATAATACCCTTCAGTTCCATCTACATCGAAGCAAATGATGGGTATGCATCCTTTTTAACGGCTGAGTAATATTCCATTGTATATATTGACCACATCTTCTTTATCTATTCATCTTTCGAAGGACACTGAGGCTTCTTCTCCAGCTTGGCTATTGTGGACATTGCTGCTATAAACATTGGGGTGCAGGTGTCTCAGCTTTTCACTGCATCTGTATCTTTGGGGTAAATCCCCAGCAGTGCAATTGCTGAGTCATAGGGGAGATTTATTCTTTTTTTTAATTACAAATTTATTCGTTTTTATTGGTGTTCAATTTGCCAACATATAGAATAACACCCAGTGCTCATCCCGTCAAGTGCCCAACTCAGTGCCTGTCACCCGGTCACCCCTATCCCCCGCCCACCTCCCCTTCCACCACCCGAAGTTCATTTCCCAGAGTTGGGAGTCATTCATGTTCTGTCTCCCTTTCTGATATTTCCCACTCATTCTTTCTCCTTTCCCCTTAATTCCCTTTCACCATTTTTTATATGGGGAGATTTATTTTTAACTCTTTGAGGAACCTCCACACAGTTTTCCAGAGTGGCTGTACCAGTTCACATTTACACCAACAGTGCAAGAGGGTTCCCCTTTCTCCACATCCTCTCCAACATTTGTTGTTTTCTGTCTTGTTAATTTTCCCCATTCTCACTGGTGTCAGGTGGTATCTCATTGTGGTTTTGATTTCTATTTCCCCGATGGCAAGTGATGCAGAGCATTTTCTTATGTGCTTGTTGGCCATGTCTATGTCTTCCTCTGTGAAATTTCTGTTCATGTCTTTTGCACATTTCAGGATTGGATTGTTTGTTTCCTTGCTGTTGACTTTGATAAGTTCTTTGCAGATGTTGGATACTAGCCCTTTATCTGATATGTCATTTGCAAATATCTTCTCCCATTCTGTAGGTTGTCTTTTACTTTTGTTGACTGTTTCTTTTGCTATGCAGAAGCTTTTTATCTTGATGAAGTGCCAATAGTTCTTTTTTGTTTTTCTTTGTTTGTTTGTTTCTTTGTTTGTTTTTGGCCAACTGATTTTTTACTAAAGTGCAAAAACAATTCAATGAAACAAAGCTGTTTATTTCAACAAATGATACTGCATCATTTTGGTGTCCGTTATCTCTCCCTGCCTCTCACCACAAAGAATCTGCCGAGGGACACCTGGGGGGCTCGGCGGTTGAGCATCTGCCCTCGACTCAGAGGGTGACCCCGGGGTCCCGGGATCGAGTCCCATATTGGGGTTCCTGCATGGAGCCTGCTTCTCCCTCTGCCTGTGTCTCTGCCTCTCTGTCTCTCTTTCTCTCTCTCTCATGAATAAAATATTTTTTTATTTTTTAATAATAAATTTATTTTTTATTGGTGTTCAATTTGCCAACATACAGAATAACACCCAATGCTCATCCCGTCAAGTGCCCCCCTCAGTGCCCGCCACCCAGTCACCCCCAACCCCTCACCCACCTCCCCTTCCACCACCCCTCGTTCGTTTCCCAGAGTTAGGAGGCTTCCATGTTCTGTCTCCCTTTCTGATATTTCCTACCCATTTCTTCTCCCTTCCCCTCTATTCCCTTTCACTATTATTTATATTCCCCAAATGAATGAGACCATATAATGTTTGTCCTTCTCTGATTGACTTATTTCACTCAGCATAATACCCTCCAGTTCCATCCACCTCGAAGCAAATGGTGGGTATTTGTCATTTCTAATGGCTGAGTTATATTCCATTGTATACATAAACCACATCTTCTTTATCCATTCATCTTTCAATGGACACTGAGGCTCCTTCCATAGTTTGGCTATTGTTGTGATGGGAAAGTGAAAACAACCAATGGATGGGATCCAGACATGGTCGTGCTACCTGGCAACTAGAGTAGTTTGCATAAATGGGGGAGATTGGAATATCGGGTCTTTCATGACCTCTCCACAATTAGGAGTGAGACAAGGCTAGAATTCATTGGCATCTTGTTTGTGTCTTTGTCTCCCTATGTATAATATGTAAGAGGTTTCCTTTGCCTCCAGATGCTATTGCTAAGATCCGTTTGTAAAGGAACTCTAGGTCATGAGTTCAAAGGCAGGTGTGGGTAAACATCGGGCACTAGAGGAGGGGCAAGATGGATGAAGAGTAGGGTCCCCAAATCACCTGTCCCCACCAAATTACCTAGATAACCTTCAAATCATCCTGAAAATCTACGAATTCAGCCTGATATTTAAAGAGAGACCAGCTGGAATGCTACTGTGAGAAGAGTTCGTGCTTCTATCAAGGTAAGAGACAGGGAAAAAGAAATAAAGAAACAAAAGGCCTCCAAGGGGGAGGGGCCCCGCGAGGAGTCGGGCTAAGGCCAGGGCGAGTGTCCCCAGGACAAGAGAGCCCCATCCCGGAGGAAGCAGGAGCTGCACCAACCTTCCCGGGCGGAAAGGGGCTCGCAAGGAGTTAGAGCAGGACCCAGGAGGGCGGGGATGCCCTCAGGCTCCCGGGGACACTAACAGACACTTGCACCCCGGGAGAGTGCGCCGAGCTCCCTAAAGGCTGCAGCGCGCACGGCGGGACCCAGAGCAGCTGAGAGGGGCTCAGGCGGCGGCTCCGCGGAGGGGGCTGCGGGGTGGGAGCGCGAATCCCACAGCGCAGGCCCCGGGGCACAGGGTGCCGGGACACAGCCCAGGATCCGGCCTCCCCCGGGACAGGCAGAGGCCGGGAGGGCCCAGGACAGCAAGGACGCTCCTGCCCGAGCTGAGCAGATCAGCACCCGCCCCGGAGCCTCCAGGCCCTGCAGACGGAGAGCTCTGGAGCTACTGCGGGAGCTGACTCTAGGGCTGGAGAGCTGGCCCCGCCACTGTAGCTGTTCCTCCTGGGGCCTCACGGGGTAAACAACCACCACTGAGCCCTGCACCAGGCAGGGGACAGAGCAGCTCCCCCAAGTGCTAACACCTGAAAATCAGCACAGCAGGCCCCTCCCCCAGAAGACCAGCTAGAAGGACAAGTTCCAGGGGAAGTCAAGGGACTTAAAGTCTACAGAATCAGAAGATACTCCACGTGGGTTTTTTTTTTTTTCTTTTTGATTTCTGTTTGCTTCCCCCATCCCTTTTTTTTTCCTTTCTTTCTTTTTCTTCTCTTTTTTTCTTTTTGTTCTTCCTTTTTTCTTTTTTCTCTTTCTCTTTTCTTCTTTCTCTCTCTTTTTCTCCTTTTCCCAGTACAACTTGTTTTTGGCCACTCTTCACTGAGAAAAGTGACTAGAAGGAAAACCTCACCTCAAAAGAAAGAGTCAGAAACAGTCCTCTCTCCCACAGAGTGACAAAATCTGGATTATAATTCAATGTCAGAAAGCCAATTCAGAAGCACTATTATACAGTTACTGGTGGATCTAGAAAAAAGGCATAAAGGACTCAAGAGACTTCATGACTGCAGAATTTAGATCCAATCTGGCAGAAATTAAAAATCAATTGAATGAGATGCAAGCCAAACTAGAAGTCCTAATGACGAGGATTAACGAGATGGAAGAACGAGTGAGTGACATAGAAGACAAGTTGATGGCAAAGAGGGAAACTGAGGAAAAAAGAGACAAACAATCAAAGACCATGAAGACAGATTAAGGGAAATAAACGACAGCCTGAGGAAGAAAAACGTACGTTTAATTGGGGTTCCCGAGGGCGCCAAAAGGGACAGAGGGCCAGAATATGTATTTCAATAAATCCTAGTTGAAAACTTTCCTAATCTGGGAAGGGAAACAGGCATTCAGATCCAGGAAATAGAGAGACTCCCCCCCAAAAAAAATCAATAAAAACCGTTCAACACCTCGACATCTAATAGTTAAGCTTGAAAATTCCAAAGATAAAGAGAAGATCCTTAAAGCAGCAAGAGACAAGAAATCCATGACTTTCATGGGGAGGAGTATTAGGGTAACAGCAGACCACTCCACAGAGACGTGGCAGGCCAGAAAGGGCTGGCAGGATATATTCAGGGTCCTAAATAGGAAGAACATGCAACCAAGAATACTTTATCCAGCAAGGCTCTCATTCAAAATGGAAGGAGAGATAAAGAGCTTCCAAGACAGGCAGGAACTGAAAGAATATGTTACCTCCAAACCAGTTCTGCAAGAAATTTTAAGGGGGACTCTTAAAATTCCCCT